GATAGATGGATGGATGGATGGATGGATGGATGGATGGATGGATGGATAGATATATAGATAGATAGATAGATAGATAGATAGATAGATAGATATAGATAGATATATATATATGTATGTATGTATAGATAGATGGATAGATATTAGGTGTTGTTGCAATTTACATATTTATGTTTTTAGAAGACTTCATCATGGTTTTATTGTTGTTTATTTTTGTATCGATTGTTAATATCCTCTTATGCTGTCATCAACCATCACTTAATAGCAGGACTGATCACAACCAATGGTAATGATGAGGTATTCCTTTGATTTCCACATAGTTTTAATAGTGGTCATTTGACACACAGTGCTTGTTCATGCATTTCATTGTTTGCCCGTGAAACAGATAAGACACACTCACAATGATGACAGACAACATTATGACTGTCAGTCCAACTTTTCTCATCTTAATAAGGAAATTGTCTTCTTCTATGCAACACATGGTGCAGATGTCACCTTTTTACACACATACATGACTGTAAAGGAGAAGAATGTTATGTTTCAATGCAGCATGCTCTTTGTCTCCTTGTGTGAGTGCGTATTGTGCATCAAGGATTAACGGTTTGAGCTTGTGCATCTCAAGCAAATGCTCATTTACAAAGCGTCCCAAGGGTCATACAGTCCCCAACCCCACTTTACACAATAAATTATATTGCTGCTGTACTAGAACCAAAAAAAAAAAAAAAAAAAACCCACAGGATACTAAAATAGTATTTTTAATCCAAGTGTTTAGCTTTACAGTAAACTCATCTCTCGCCAGTGTGACCTCAAAGACAAAATAATAAAAATAACATGAGAATGATTATGACGATATTGACTATGAATGACCTTTTCTGTATTTTCAATGTTGTGTTATTTTAAGATTACCCTCATGATTACATCACATTATCCTTAACAATAAACAAACACAAATGTTTCTAATATTAAGATAATAAAAATACAGAAAAGTAGACAAAAAAATAAACAGACACATCTATTTACTTACAATTATTTACTTCTAGCATAATAGTAACTATTATGCTAAAATACAGAAAGTCACTGTATTTTTGTTTGAGTTTAAGACCATCTGAAAATTATCATTTGTGAAATAAATAATCATGTTAATAATGTTTGATCCACCGCAAATTTGGACAAACATAAAATAAAGCTTAGAGATGGTGACTGTAAAGCAGGGATGTCAAACTCATTTTTGCCATGGCCACATGGTATTCATGTTTTCCCTCAGAGGGCCGCCATACCTGTGAAGTTGTGTGAAAACATATCAATGTATTGATCGCCACATATTATTAGCACATGTTGTATACACGGCAAATTGATGAATAACTAGTTCTGAAATGAAAAACCAGTAAAGTGTGTATATATATATATATATATTTAATTTGTCTCAGTGTAGAGCTGCAGGCACGAAAACACACACACACACGCACACATTTCTCCTCCCCTGCGCTCAGCTCCCCTACAGGCAGCCGCAGAATGGTGGTTTTGATTTTATATATTGGAGGGAGAGGCAAGCTGAAAGATACTCCTAAATACATCTGCCTTACCTGATATGAGGAGGCCTCCTTGCTAAACGTCGAAGAGGGTGAGAGAGCGACAGACAGGTTTGTGACTGGTTTGACCCGTCCAAGCGACTTCACTTCAAATAGAAGTTTAATGAATGTTATTATTTTCTTTTTTCAATTATCCATTAACTGAACTGCTTCATCCCACACGGGTCGCGGGTGTGCTGGAGCCCATCCCAGCCATCCTCGGGACATAGGCGGGAAACACCTGGAAATAGTTGCTGGGCAATCACAGATTTGTTCAATTATGACTCCATTTATTTTAAAGGAAAAAAAAAAAAAAAAAAAAAAAGCATGTAATATATCAACGTAATGAATAGTTAAGACAATTTGCAATTTTGATATTTTATCAAGAAACATGAACTCCACAAATATGATTTGCCTTTGCGGGCGACATAAAATGATGTGGCCTGCCGAATCTGGGCCCCGGGCTTTTGAGTTTGACACCTGTGCTGTAAAGGCTCATAGAAAACACCAATGAATAAATACAGAGGTCCATTTGTAAAAGGAAACAAATGTAAAGTGCTAACAGGTCCTTGGGAATCTTTCAAGTCTCTGGAAGTGCCCTACCGCACGCACCTCATGAGCGTTGAAGCTCCATCCGTCCTGACTCGGCATTTAGAGCAGTTTCTTAATGCGGCAAGTGTGCTTCCCGATGGTCATGGAGGCTTGATCGGCGGAGTTGGTCAGGACGGTGAGCGCTTCATCCTGACGTTCCAGCTCTGTCTCTGCCTCCAGGGCCAGGCTCTTCAGTTGAAGCAGCATCTGCAGTGCACACACAAAATCTAATAAAACCTAACAAAAAAACCCACTCTGAACTAAACAAAATTTAAAAAACACTTCTCAAAATGAAATAAAAAGTAACTATAATTAACATTCCAAAACTATAATAAGCCTGGTTATGACTGACACCATAACAGAGGCATCACTCTAACAATACAGTGAAACTCCTCTACAACGAAATCATGTTTGCAGCAAGAAATTTTTCACAACGGGGCTTTTCACTGTAGCAAATTTTATCTCAGATGTAAACACACACACACACACACACACACACACACACACACACACACACACAAAGTATGTGTGTATTCTTTATTTTTATTCCAATACGTAGTGCATAAATATGAGCATACACTTATTTGACACTTCATATAGCCAGTGTAGAAAGGAAAAAAACGGGAAAGAAGTTGCGAAATTTAGGGTCAGCATTCACTTTCATTTACATCAATTTCTTGCAAAATGTCTTTTACATTGCTTCATCCATCTTTCATTTTTATTACTTTTATCCTGTCTTCAAGCGTGAATACTTTTCTTTTCTTAACTCCTTGGTCTGCAAAGTTTCGTTTCGTAGCCATTTTAGCAATGCAACGTTTGTGCTGCGTCTGAAACTAACAATAACAAATACTTCCTGGACTACTGCGCATGTGTAAACCAATGAGGTGGTTGCCGTTGCCGTTTCCGAACAAAGCAGTAGAGGTCGCTGTGGCATGCTGAGTTGGATTAGACTTTTGCGGTCGGCTTGTTTTCCTTGTAGTGGATCTCGTTGCGAGGCAAGAGCAGAGAAAAAGATTTCGTATCACGGAACAGGGGGACTTTTCGTCGTAGGGGGAGCAGAAAAGTGGGAATGGCTTTTTTGCATGAACATTTTTTCACACTAGGGGGTATTTTCGCCCATGTAGGTTTCATTGTACAGTGAAACTCCTCTACTACGTATTGGAATAAAAATAAAGAGTACACACCTAAGTTGTGTGTGTGTGTGTGTGTGTGTGTGTGTGTGTGTGTGTTTACATCTGAGATAAAATTTGCTACAGTAAAAGTCCCCTGTTGTGAAAAATTTCTTGCCGCAAACATGATTTCGTTGTAGAGGAGTTTCACTGTAGAGGAGTTTCACTGTATGGTGATTTTTGCTGCAAAGGCTCCACGTGCTGGTCACCTGCTTGAGCTCCTGTGCTTCGGCCTGGCTCATGGCGGGCTGGAGGACGTGCACCTGCAACTGGGACAGCTCCCCCGCCGGGACCTCCATGGGGACCTCCATCTCATGGCACCCATGTAAGGGGGGGGGGGGGGGGGGGCAAGCGGAGAGTTACACAAGTGCCCGTGTTTGTGTCATGAGAGAAGCAGATGGGCTCTCCAAATGTGTGCTGTGGTTTATGGATAAAGCTATACTGCCACTAAGTGGTCAAACTGTGGAATTGACTGAAAGGGAGGCCAAAGCTTGTGCTCTTGATTTCTCAAGTAGACAGATGGCACTGAAGCCAGTTTGTACAGCATAGAGAGAGAGAGAGAGAGAGAGAGAGAGAGAGAGAGAGAGAGAGAGAGAGAGAGAGAGAGAGAGAGAGAGAGAGAGAGAGAGAGAGAAAAATACATAAGGGGATAAAAAGCTGATTATATAAATACTGACCTAAATGCCAGGCGTCTGGGGACCCCAGTTTGAGAACCACTCAACTCTCAACTCAACTGTATTTGGAGAGCACTTTCAAACAGCCATCGCTGCATACAAAGTGCTGTACATGGAGCAATTTAACATATACAACAAACAGGAAAGCAAATCGGTAATAAAGACGGTAGAAAGCACCGAACAGCAAAACCAAGAACAAATCTAAGTCATGCTGAGTCAAATGCCAAAGAATACATGTGAGTTTTGAGGCGGGTTTTGAAGATGGGCAGCGAGGAGTCTTGCCGTAGGGCGGATTAGCTCAGAGAGGTAAGGTGGCGCGAGGTCATTTAGAGATTTGAAAACAAATAAGAGGATCTTGAAAATAACTCTAAATGTATGGGGAGCCAGTGAAGGGATGCCAGAGTAGGAGTTATGTGCTCCCTCTTACGAATACCGGTCAAGAGGTGAGCAGCAGCATTCTGGACCAGCTGGAGATGGTTAATGGAGGACTGGCTGACTCCAAAGTAAAGGGCATTGCAGTAATCGAGCCGGGATGTGACAAAGGCATGAATTACTGTCTCAAAGTGTTCATGAGAGAGGAGAGGTTTTACTTTGGCCAGCTGTCTAAGGTGAAAGAAGCTGGATTTAACAACGGCACCAATTTGCCGGTCAAGTTTGAAATCACTGTCCGATTTAAGGCCCAAGTTTGAGACTGTTGACTTAAGATAAGGAGACAGGAGGCCCAAGTCTACAGGATGGTATGTACAAGGGCCACTGGGACCAAACAGTATAAACCACTGTAGGAGACAACCACTATTTGAGGAAATGCTAACAACTAACCGATTATCAAATGAAATGAAAACTGCTTCAGCAAATGAGTAATCGTTTAGAGCCGTTATTTATTTTAAAATTGTCCAAAATCCTCAAATTTCAGCCTCTCAAATGTCATTCTTCATTGAGTTCTGTTGTCTTCCATAAAAGCAAGGCATGCCAACTTAACTTATACAGCACATTTCAGGGCAACTCAATTTGCTTCACACGGCCAAACGGCGAAAGACATTTGGAGGCGAAGCAAAACGAAGATATTGAAAAGCAAACCTCAGTTTTATTTTGTTTAGCTGAAGGAAATGTTGGCCCATCTCGTCGGTAATTTGATTTTGGCAGCTATATAACAGATCAATTGAACTGCTGTCATTTGGAGAAATGGTTAAATATACGTTTTGCTGTGTGTCACCTGCATAGCCATAATAGCCAACATTGGCATCCTGAAGCATTTGACCCAAGGGTAACATAATTAAACAGACTGAACAAAAGGGTCCAAGACTGACCCTTGAGGGACCCCAAATGTCATGGCCATCCGATCAGATAGTTAATTGTTTGTTGTTTAGGTGTTTTTTTTTTAATGACTAAACTATACCAAATAAACAACAACTATTGCTTAATAAACAGTAATCTGTGAAAAAATGCTTTCTATTTCATACTTTACCGTCATGCAAAATGGCTGCTTGTGCGTCACCAGGTGATGAAACAGGCGTGGCCCGGAAAGCGGCGTACTCTACGGCGAACTCCACCTTCTTCTTGTACTGCATCTCCAGCACGGCTAGCGCCTCCGGCATCTTGGCCGACAGCAGCCGGCAGCGGACGTCAGGCCTGCCGATGAAGCGCTGCCTCACCGTGATCTCGTACGGGCTGTGCACTCTGATCTCGTCCACCTCGCCGCGTTCAAAACGGTGCAGCAGACGGCAGGCGGCGTCGCGCACCTCCAGTGAAGACGGCAGTATTAGCAGGCAGCCAGGCTTCAGGTCGCAGTCGCCGTCCTTGGACACCACGGCCGGGATGCTGGCAATCACTTTGCTCCGGCCAGACTCTTTGGATGCGGCGACGGCAGCCCGAGCTACATCCTCCGCCTTGGCTTCCTGCTGAATCTTCCATGGAAGTTTACTGAAAGGCCACCAGGAAGGAGACTCCAGCTCTGATAAAAGTCTGCAAGATAAAATGAGGAAAAATTGTTCAGCACAGAATGCAATCTACTGTGCACAGTTTTGCGAGTAATATTTCCACATTAATTTCTTGCAAGAAATGTACAGCGGATGCTTGGCATGCAGTAGACCAGGTCTTCTGCCCAACACAGTAGCCGCTGTAACACTCCCACTCATGACCACAAACAGACAATTGTTTACAGTGACTTGGAACGAGCATAAAAAATAATCTCGGGTGATGAGCTACATGCTGCTTCACCAAGTCCTTGGTGTGAATTCCTTGCAAGAAAGAGGAAAGACTGTACAGAGCAGTTTCATGAATTTCATGAATCTGCTCTGTACAGTCTTTACTCTTACGCCTCATGATCACAAATATACAATTGCTCATGATTACTTGGAACAGAACAGTACAGGTAAAATAACCACAAGTGGTAAGCCACATGCTACTTCACCATTTTTTTTGTTTACTCCTTGAAAGAAAAAGGAGAAAATTAACATAACAGATGCAAAAATCTTCCGCCTAGTGCGGCTGCTGTTGACACATTTAAAAGAGCTGCCTTGTGGTCATAATCATACAACTGTTACTTGAATTGGGTGCAGTATAAAAGCAAAGTAACCTAGTATAATGAGCCACATGCTGCTTCACCAAGTCAAGTGTTAATTAATAACAACGAGGACAGATTGTAGCGAGCACAAGTACATTTTAATGCAGTATACGCCATCTTCCAGCTCGCTGTCACACTTGTACAAATCAGTCAAACACATTTATGGCCACTTGGAACAGTGTAGTGCAAAAATTACCTCAAATGATAAACCACATGCTGCTCCACCAAGGTCTAGACAAAATGGAATATGACTATGAATCGGAATAACTAAACTCCTTTTCCTTCTTGACAGTTGCTGTCAAGAGGGAAGAGGGTAGAGATAAGATCTGTCCTAAAAAATCGAGCACGACCCGACCGGGCCCGAGGGTATTAAAGCCCGACCCGGCCCGAGCCCGATCACTTAGCTTGATTTGCAGGCCTGAGCCCGAAGCAAACCCGACATTTCATATTTTATTTGTGAGTATTTTTGGTAGCCATTCACATAAACACGCCCCCTACTGTATGCCTGCTGGCCGGGTGAGAAGCATGGTCCTAGTGTCCGTCAAAATTTTTATTTATTAAAAAATAAAAAAGTCAGCGAGAGAGAAGCCCGACCCGACCCGAACCCGAACCAATGATTGACATTTTAGGGCTTTCGGGTCGGGTCGGGCGGCCCGTTCTTACCTCTAGAAGAAGGTGAGAAGAACTCATCGGTTGCAATAAGTACTGTTCAGGTGGTTAACTAGTGTTTACACTTGGACAATAGAAAAAGAAAGTCGTACTTATCTGCTACTCCCAGGTCCGAGTCCATCTTCTCCAGGCCTTGCATCATGCTGTCAAACTGCTCCCCCTGGTAGCTGAGGACCCTCCCGGTGTCCTCCAGTCGTCTCTGGGCCCCGGCGACGAGGTTGATGAGCTCTCGGCCCTTGGAGGGCTCACTGCCAGGGACCCCACTCCTGCCCTCGGAACCGGTGGGGGAGAGCAGGCGCTCTCTCCAGAAATGCTCCATCACGTTGTACACCACCACCCGGTTGGGCTTGAGGGAGCCAAACCAGTGCTTGACGTTGCCCTCCTCCAGCACCGTCAGGGTGCTGAAGATGAGGCTGGACGATTCCATTTTAATCTCCGTGATGCGGGAGAGGCGGAAACTGGCGAGGGTCTCCTTGGTTTGGTTCGAGACGAAACGCACCGCGCTTCTACTCAGGGACAACGTGCCATTCTCCCACCTCTTGTTCGAGGTGAGGTAGTAGGAGCCGGGCCAGCTGTGGATGGGAGCGTCAAGGCTCATTTTAAGAGTTGATGACCGAGCTTTCCGTCTTGCCGCTCACATGCGCACGACGCTGCTTCGTTTTCTGAGCTCAACTGGTTGAAACCCGTCTCTTTCTTAAAAATAATACTGATCATGGAAGTACAGTACTACCAAACGTTTCGACTCATTTGGCTGCCTGTTTATCATGGAAGTGACGTCACGAATGCGGTGTTGCGGTGTGTTGTGTTCGACGTTCAAGACCGTTGAAATGACCTAGACTAGATTTTAATTGTTGATCGCTTCAACTTCAAGTCAACTTGGCACTTTCAAGAAGTTAACATTCTCTTGATAATTTCCTCCCAGATCAATCAGAATTAATAAAAAAACTTAGCGTCGTTTCACTGCGTGTTTAATCGCTTGATGACGTCACGGGTGATGCTCACTGTGGCTGATCCAACTCGAAAACTGCTTACCTTGTGTTTGCTTTTACAGACGCTGTTTTACCATTGAAATAATACGGCGTCTGAGATACAATCAACACCTATTTGTTAATAATGTTAGCACTCAGAACAAACGCATTTTCCACACAATTGTCGTTTTGCGTCGCAGGTTGTCAAGGGAGTGACGTACAGGCCCTGTCAAAGTTGAGTTTATAATTGTCCGATTTGAAAGTCCTCTGGCCGAGTCAGGGGACCGATTGATCTAGATTCAAGTCAATGTTTTAAGTTCAATATTTGACAGCGTCACCGTCGAGTCGATTCAATCTTCCTCAACACGCACCGCTGAAAAACAACCAAATGACAGTACAACAAGTATTAGATTAAGATTTCGTGTTGTTTAACGGCGTCTTGTTATAACGGATGTGGCGTCACCGATGATGTGTTGCAGTATTTACTGTTCGATTGCGTATCCAATTGCTACAGTTGTTTTAGACAACATTAGAATCATTTACTGCGTTGCCCTCGTGTCAGTTAAACCCGATAAAATATTTTCACCTTAATTTACTAATATTCCTGCAGTAATGTAGATAGTTAGGCAAGTGTTTCGTGTTGTTTGGCGGCATGAGTGCATCATCACGGAAGTCACCTCATGGTAAATGATGTTTCAATGTTTACTGTCCGACTTGAAAGTCCTCTGAGAGAATTGTCCACTGCGACAATGCTTTTGGACAAATAAAATCTGCTAGCAAAGACACAGGGGTTTCCTTATGAATTATGAAATAAAAATTTTGAATCACAATTTTTAGCGTTGTAAGAATATCATTAAGGGCGTGGTGAAGTAAATGTACCGGAGTGGATTTTTTTTTCTTTTTGCTAGGGCGCTCCAAAATTGTATCTCCGAAATAATGTCACCACTGCGGAAAAATTCTCGGACTCGTTCTCTTAAAATGTAAAACCAAACGAGTATTTCCTTTCTTTTTTTTAATTATTTCTCGATTTAACTCCATGTTCGCATCATCATGGACAGGGATGCTTACCGCAACTGTTGCAGTCTGGTCAAAATCCCTCGGCAGTCCTACGACCAGTTCTGCTCGTCGCATTTCGTCGACTACATCGACAAGGATTTGTCTTACTCCAAATTCTTCAAAAGGTACCTGCTTCCCAATCACCCGTGCGTCTTTTCCAAGGGATTTACTGAGGAGTGGAAGTGTAGGAAACAATGGGTGACTGAGGAGGGAAAGCCTCATTTCCAGAAGCTGCTGCAAGAATTTGGTAAAATACATATATTTTTTAATGGTACAAACTTCCCCTTGCAAACACTTTATTATTTCAAACAATTATTTGTTTGTTTTTTGTTTTTTCTCTCTCAGGGGAAACTCCCGTTCCTGTAGCCAACTGCAACGCAAAAGAATACAATGCAAACCCAAAGCAAGTGATGCCTTTTAAAGAATTCATCCACTACTGGAAGGAGCACATCCAGAATGGACATTCATCCCCTAAAGGATGTCTCTATTTGAAAGATTGGCATATGTCCAGGTACAATACACTGCACTACATATGAAATACAAGCATGTAACAACAGCCAGACGTCTTCTATCTGGAGGCTATTCCAGTTGACTTTGGACACGAGGTGGGGTACACCCTGGACTTGCTGCCAGTAGATCGCAGGGCACATGTTAACAAACTTTCACACTCACATTCACACAATTTGGAACAGTGGTGTCCAAACTGTGGCCCACTGTTCATCTTATGGCAGCTCGCGGCATGTACTAATTTATAACTTTCGACATCGCCTGCAATGCAGTTAAAAACAAAAAAATAAGACACATTCCTTGTGTGTTCTTTTACATACTTTCCCAATAAAGATGATTCTGATTGTGGTTTGATAAATTAAAGTCAAAAAGTGGCCCTTGGATCTTTCTGCTTTTCTGTGTGCAACCCTCAGAAGAAAAAGTTTGGACACCTCTGACTACGTCTTCAATAAACTTAACATGCAAGTGTGTGGAATGTGAGAATAGGCCATAGTGACATACAACATACAAACTGTTTTTAATTTAACAAACATGAAGTTATGTAAACACACTAACATTCAAAGGGTTAATAAACACTAACTATAGCTCTTTTTTATGTGTATGGTATGGAATCTTTAAAATTCATTTCATAAAAAATAATTTTGTAAATATATTGAATGGCCTATAAGGTTTATTACTTAATTTTTGATGTGTATATTATTTAAATTATTTTTGTTTTGTGAAAAAAAAAACATGGGTTGTACACTTACACTGACCTTTGAAAAACAAATACAATTGATATTGGATTTGTATATTTTATGCTAAAAGTGTAAAAAACAAAACTGTATGTGTAATGATATTATCTTTGGATCGCCACAGGGACTTTCCGGAGCATCACGTTTACACCACCCCCATGTTCTTTACCTCTGACTGGCTGAATGAATACTGGGACGCACTTGAAGTGGATGACTACCGCTTTGTCTACATGGGGCCCAAAGGATCATGGTAAGGATTTTGGTGATGAAATTGAATGAATGACTACTGATGAATTTTTCCATTCGTATTCAGCGTGAGTTGTCTTTACTTGCAAGTGACATAAGAGATTGTACAGAGTGGATGCTAATTACTGTAATTAATTGTACATATAATTGCGTTATATAAAATAAGTGATTAAAACCCAGATTTTACAGTTGACTTTTTTTTTTGCCAAATATATTCCTTTAGTTATATTTCTTTTTTTTTTTTTTTTTTGCCTCTTAAGTGCTAGATTAGCTCAACATTATTGCCGCAATTGCCCACAGGACTCCATTCCACGCTGATGTTTTCCGCTCGTACAGTTGGTCGGCCAACATCTGCGGCAGGAAGAAGTGGCTGCTGTATCCTCCTGGCCAGGAGGAGTTCTTGAGAGACATGCATGGCAACCTCCCCTATGATGTCACGTCGGCCGAGCTTCACGATGGGAGCCTTTTCCCGCGCTCCCAGGAAGCCTGCCAGCCTCTTGAGATCATCCAGGAGGCTGGTGAAATTATTTTTGTGCCCAGCGGATGGCACCATCAGGTTTATAATCTGGTATGTTCAAATCAAGGGGTTCTAATAGATGATGTATTCTGTCAAATGTACTTTTTGATTGTTTGCATACAAATGATTGGATGTCAGGCAATTGGCCTTGGCCTAAAAAAAATTTAAAAATCCATATCATTCGAGCCCTAGCTATTGCAGTACTGAAATCCGTACTCGCTGTTGGCACAGCAGTATATGGGATAGGGAAAGTGGTGAATTTCAGCAAGGTTTGAAAAAGAGGGTGTATTGATTGCTCTAGTCCTGGGCCCATAGGTTATTTTTACATAAGCGTCACAGACATATTGTTAAGACCAGTGGTGTAGTGGGGATTTTTTAAGTGGGTGCACGCGATTCTGGGATGTTCTATATATACATACAGAACATCAATCATAGGCTACAACACCAGTTGAACTAACGTTAAATTTAATGTTTTATGACTCCAAAATAATCACAGGCCAACGTTATTGAGCATAACTCGCATTAGAACTCATCACTAATGGACGAGCACACCTTGCAGCCGAGTTTCCCGTCCTTATCATCGATCCAGGGATAGGCCTCCTTCTTTCTCTTCCACATGTCTTCACTCCAAATCGCGAATGGGTGAGCTACTGCAGCTCCCCGCCACCTCCGTGCTAGCATCACCATGGCTAGCATTAGTTGACGAAGTGACTTCGGTGTTGGCGCTGACTGGTTTCTCAACTTTATCACACAAAGTCTCTGAATTGGGTGTCTGGATACCGGAGACGTCTTTCTCTTTCCGAAAATAAAAATCAGTGTTTTTCTGCTTTTTCTCTGTCATTTTAGTGCGGGGCTAAAACTGAAATAAAAATTGAATGTGGCGTCGGGAGAAGTGGGTGGACGGCGTACCCCCCGCGTACCACGCCCACTACACCCCTGGTTAAGACACCTGAGAATATTGGTTTTAAATGATAGGGGGAAAAAAAGCACATGGTGTCTCCTTTAACTTTTAATCATAGGCTTGCGCCATCAAGGCTGCTAATGTAAAAATGGTCCTGACACTTTCTTGTAGGAGGACACCATTTCCATCAATCACAACTGGCTGAATGGCTGCAATGTGGACATCATGTGGCAGTTCCTGCAGAACGAGCTGTCTTCGGTGCAGAAAGAGATTGACGAGTGGAGAAACACCATGGATTCATGGCATCAGCACTGTCAGGTACCCAGCAGCATTCAATAAACCGCTGAAAAGTACATCTGGGAATGTGGCTCTCCTTTCCCACATGCAAGGCATTACAGTATACTGTAAACACCCACAAAAAATGTTTGGAGGAGCGTCAATTATAAACTGCAATGTAGCTGGTGGTTATCACGCTTGACAAAGAACAACATTATAAGAGGCTAAAAAAGAAGCAAAACACTTGCTGGGGTCATCCGAAGCCACGTGAGTTCTGCTCATTCTGATGCTTTGAACTTCCACTTCCAGGTCATCATGAAGGCCTGCTCAGGCATCGACTATAAGGAGTTTGCGTCGTTCCTCAAAATCGTGGCGGACAACCGCATGACTTTCTTGAACGCTCGCAGCTCCGGAGACGCCACCGACTATCCGCGCCACCTTTCCGAGGCGCTCGTCACCCTCGGGCCTTGCCACGCTGCCTTCGACTTGCAACGGGTGGCCCACATCCTGGAGCTCCTGCTGTGTAACGACGATTTCAAGAGGCTGGACCACTCGGCGTCCGTCGTGCAGCCGGAAACGTTGTTGCAGCAAATTCGGGACACCATACAGTCCACCAGAGGGCAGCATCTTCTTTATCAAGACTGAGAGGTCGAGTGAAATGGGGTTGCAAAGGGCAGACGTTTTTTCTCGTATGAATCCGTTAACTTTAGCTGAGCACATGGTGTCTCCTTTAACTTTTAATCATAGGCTTGCGCCATCAAGGCTGCTAATGTAAAAATGGTCCTGACACTTTCTTGTAGGAGGACACCATTTCCATCAATCACAACTGGCTGAATGGCTGCAATGTGGACATCATGTGGCAGTTCCTGCAGAACGAGCTGTCTTCGGTGCAGAAAGAGATTGACGAGTGGAGAAACACCATGGATTCATGGCATCAGCACTGTCAGGTACCCAGCAGCATTCAATAAACCGCTGAAAAGTACATCTGGGAATGTGGCTCTCCTTTCCCACATGCAAGGCATTACAGTATACTGTAAACACCCACAAAAAATGTTTGGAGGAGCGTCAATTATAAACTGCAATGTAGCTGGTGGTTATCACGCTTGACAAAGAACAACATTATAAGAGGCTAAAAAAGAAGCAAAACACTTGCTGGGGTCATCCGAAGCCACGTGAGTTCTGCTCATTCTGATGCTTTGAACTTCCACTTCCAGGTCATCATGAAGGCCTGCTCAGGCATCGACTATAAGGAGTTTGCGTCGTTCCTCAAAATCGTGGCGGACAACCGCATGACTTTCTTGAACGCTCGCAGCTCCGGAGACGCCACCGACTATCCGCGCCACCTTTCCGAGGCGCTCGTCACCCTCGGGCCTTGCCACGCTGCCTTCGACTTGCAACGGGTGGCCCACATCCTGGAGCTCCTGCTGTGTAACGACGATTTCAAGAGGCTGGACCACTCGGCGTCCGTCGTGCAGCCGGAAACGTTGTTGCAGCAAATTCGGGACACCATACAGTCCACCAGAGGGCAGCATCTTCTTTATCAAGACTGAGAGGTCGAGTGAAATGGGGTTGCAAAGGGCAGACGTTTTTTCTCGTATGAATCCGTTAACTTTAGCTGAGAAAATATTTACAGTTGGACAATTGGCATGACAGTTCATGAAATTTAATTTGTTTTTATTTTTTCTACAAATAGAAACCGTTCCTCTGTGTTTTAATAACACCGGTCAACAAATTTTTACAAAAATCAGATCTCAGTCGGTGAATTTTTTTCTGAAGAATATCAGGCTTTCATTAGAATATTAGAAATTTAATGACAATAGTGATACATTTAGTAATATATTCATGTATTAAGGGTCAGGTTCAGCAACAGGTGAAATTCTATGAACATGGCCATAAATTACAACACATGGTAAAATCTGTACTGCGCAAGCTTTTATAGGTCAAATACAAAAAAATGAAAATATCTAAAAAAATCTGGTGTTCCGGGAAAAAAAAGTCAAGACATTTTTTCAAATCAGCGTCAAAAATATGTTTAGAGATGCAGACAGCCGTCTGATTTTAAAAATTGCTTTTGACCAGTCTAACATTGACGTTCTTGTCAAATTACCCCTAAGGATTAAGAATTGCAACACATACAATATTTGGGTGCCTTGCTGAAGTTAGCCTGTTTTCAGGCGGCTGTCCTGTCTCATGCAAAGGAGCCACTGCTCACCCTACCCACTCTACTGTGTGCTGTGCCAATGCAGGTGTGGCTTTTGTTACTATAACTATGGACGGCGCTAGATGATCACTTTATCATCAAACCGTCCAATTAAATGTGTCAATAATGTTGTGGATCCAGGCATGTGGCGTATAAAATGGACACATCAGCAAGCAGCTCTGCTTACCTTTTGGCTTTTACGTGATGGTTCTTCAGTGTAGTTGCCTGAAAATAGCCTGAAAATGTGTGAGTGGTATTATCTAAATTAAAATATGACATCACAGCTAGGCCAAATTCTGAACAGCTCACTTGCAGAACCATTTTCAGAAATTGTTATCTAGCAAAAGGCTTACTTGGTTGTTTAAATGTACTGTACTGTATTTTGTTGCCTCATAAGCCTCAACGGCCTTGCAGTGTTTTGCAGAATTTTGGAACCCCGTTTCTACATACTGGTGGGCAGCCTGGAAATAACTTGAATGCAAATGAAAACATGACACGAAAGGCACTTATTACACTTATCTAATATTTATTGCATACAGCATCATATGTCATGTTTCGTTAAAGCTCAAGACATTTTATGACATGATTGGTTTGTCGCTGTGAAGTGCATGTGTCAATCTCATTGTTTGCCCTTTAAAAATAAACACAGTCAAGTTGTGACATTGAAACAGCACTCGAGGCCTTCATTTGAAACATGTCAGGAGTATTCATGTAACTCACGTAGAAGCTCCCGAGTCACTTTTCTCGTTTTCAGGCCACCAGTTGGGCACGGAGGCCTCGAGCGTCACTTGGATGTTGTCGACACATTTGACCATCAGCACCTCCTTGGCGTGAGCCAGGCGGATCAGGCTCAGGCCCAGATTTCCCAGCCCCGCGCGGTGCTTCCCGGCCGGCTTGCCTGACTTTGTGTGTAGCGACGTTCCCTCCTCCAGGCCTTGGACGGGCGCCGAGGCGCGCACTGGCATGAGGCGCTTGCGAATCACGCCGGTGTGATGAGTCCTGGCTGTCAGTTCCTGCCCGATGTAGCAGCCCTTGCTGAAACTGATGCCTTGCATGTAGACTAAGTTGGACTCAAGTGGCAGCGCCACTCCTGGAGGAAGGTCTTTCACTCCCTCTGGAAGTCCTGGACAACAATGATGACAGAAACAAAAAGGAAAAGCGGGCGTTCTTTCTTTTGAAAGAAATTGTGTCTGGAAAGCCCACCCTCCACCACGGCTTGGCCTTGGTTCAAAACAACCTATGCAATCAAATTTGTTTATTTGCTGTCACGTATACTTCATGAGCAACGTCACTCTTCCAAGGGGAAAATGAAAAGGGTACTATTACTGCCTAGATAGACAGATTGCAATGTCTAAACCAAAAGAGCGACACCACATTTGACTCTTACCTATCGAATAGCGATGCCTGTGGTACTCCTCTGTGTCACCTTTCTGACATGACGCAATCACATCTAAGGGGTCAGCCTGACTTTCCAGCACCAACCTCCAGCCCATGTCCTGTGTCCGCGGGTCCTTCTCCCACACGACGGCCTTTTCTGGTGAGGACAGCTCGGGCTTACTGAAACGCTGGCTGTGACTTTGTTGCAGGGGGAGCACGGCCCAAGCAAAAAGGTCAGGGCATGGGTTGATGTTGATCTTTCTGCGGATCTTGTAGACTTTCAGGTGTCTCAAGAGCGAGTCTGTCATGGCGCTGTCACATTCCAGAAGGATGCCACTTCCTCTCGCAGCTTCCTTTTGACTGGAAGTAAATAGAACATGAGGAAAGTCGTAATTCTCAATTTCTATCCATCTATTTTCTATCACACCTATCCTCATTCAGGGTTGCTGTGAGCTGGGGCCTATCCATTGACTTTGGGTGAATCATACTCACGCCTATGGGCAAAGTCTTTCATGAAACTACTGTATCACACATGTTTTAAGAAGGAAAACTGGAGAAATTCCACACAAGCACTGGGAGAACATGCAAACTCAGCATAGGAACTGTGAGGTAAACATGCACGATACTCTCTCATTTCCAAATTTTCGCCAAGGCACCAAAATTACCTGTACAGAATGACGTCATAGAGCGTTCTCCCCTGGACGTTGAGCATATGTGCGTACACTGCCCCGCCGCTGGCCTCCTCAAGCTGGCGCACGTCGTTAGTAAGCAGCCCCTGAAGGAAGGAACTAGCCTCGGCTCCCTCGATCTGGACTAGCGCCCTGTGGGCCAAGCGGTAGCACGCCAACTTGCCCGGCGCGGCCGGGTTGTCAAGCGCCTCCTGGCTATACCTCAACACCCGGAGTCCCGCTCGAGCCGGAACACTGACGCCGAAGCCGTATTTGCTCGCGACGCCACCGAGGGGACCGCTGGAGGTGAGCGCCCGCCTCACGATTGAAGACAACTTCATGATGAACACCTCCACGGTTGATTACTGCGTGGGGAAAAGATCGAAAGTAGCTGGGAGCTGCGTTCTACAGGACACCACAGGGGTCGCCATTTTGTATACCCACAATCCTTTGCTCCATAAACATCGTGGAGCACGTGGGGGGCTGAGGCCGGATGTCAACAAGTGCTCAGTCAGAATGACTCAAATCACTCTTATTCGACATTTTACAAAGCTACTGATTAAAAACAAAACAACAACACCAGCAAAACATAATTGTGTTATAGCTTAACCACAGTGTGCCCCCTCAAATGTACTGCGATGATTCAGTGCTCATATAAAGTTTTGATTTAAATGTTTATGTATCAGTTGAATGAGTTTAATTCACGAAACTAACATTAAATTTAAGATAATCTTTTGTTATAAAAAATACAGAAGTAGTCTAATCAAAATCTTTTGGCATAAAAAAAGCAACAATAGCGTCATCAAAAATAACATGAGTAAAAGTCAAAGAGTGAGTACTGTATACTCTTTGGGACACCCTGTATTGACAGTTAATCACGTGAAAATATTAGTTCCGTCATAGCTGGATTAATAGATAGTCTTATTAACAAAAAAAAAAAGAAAATTTAAAAAAGAATTTATGAAATAATATTTGTCGTGTGACATGAATTATTTTATAATAAATCACAATTAATGTAAAAATATATTTGACAACTATTCATTTTGTGTTGCACTTTTATTTTAAAATGATTATACAGTACATTATTGTAAGAGTGTTTTGAAATGTGTATGTCATAACCACAGTACAAAATATCAAAATATTATGCCAAATTATATTTGCCAAAAAAGCAAAACATTACATATAAATATTAAAATGACAAAATCAGTGTTACGTATAATAAGGAATATGTCATATTATAATAACTACTAAGAGTAAGATGAAAAATTAACTGATAATATTCTGCACATATATATATATATATATATATATATATATATAGTGTGAATACTGAGAGGAAAAAGCTTTTATACAAAATTTATTATCATATGTGGAAAAATAGTGGTCTTTCTATTTATGTATAATAGCTGAGTCATCATAAAAATATGAATTTTGAGATTGCTGACACAGTCAAGCATTAACATGTATTTTTAAAATTACTAATGTTTAACAGTGTGTGTGTGTGTGTGTGTGTGTGTGTGTGTGTGTGTGTGTGTGTGTGTGTGTGTGTGTGTGTGTGTGAAACTTACAACCTTTACATACTGTATACATACTGTGCGGCTCATTTCAGGTGGTTGACGTAAGTATTTACTTCTCTCACAATAAGAACAAAGCTTTCACAGCGCAACAATGCACCTATGATGTGACGGCATCACCACAAGATCATAGACATTAAGGGTCATTTGTAAGTGGATTGCAATGATGATGATGATGATGATTTACCAATCTGACCAATCTGCAGCACTGTAATCGACAAGTTTAATTCAGCGGCTTCATGTTGCCTCCACAAGTGAAAATACAGCTGATGTTTTTCACTGTTCATAAGGGTGTTCTCTGTTTTCTTTGCACTTTGGGCTAATAGTAGCACTAGCCTTGTCTCACCTTGCTAGTCAGTCAGAGTCTCATGGTAACGATTGCATTACTCAGCATTGGCCCTTGGTGGAAGTGAGCAGTGACTCATTTGATTGAGACAGCACAGCCCCCTCAAAACTGCAAAGACTTTTGATGAAAGTATGTTGCAGACATGTTAAGGTACTCATTCACACCCTGATATTTCAAGACACACATTATATTGTTTTCTGTCACAATATAATCACCAACCTCACAAACAGAAACTCTTCTTTCAAAAGAAAAAGTTTGTCTCTATCTTTTTTTCATGATTCAGTAGTAGAACATGGCTTGGTTTCACCATAAACAGTGGTTTCTGACCAAAAATGGAGAGAGGAAGCTTTTTCTGAAAAGAAACATGTCAAGCAGAACGTGACTTTATGCAAATATTGTTTGCTTTTATGCCACCTCCAACCATCATAATCTTTGTGTTTGAATTAAAAGATGCATTGATCAAAAATCTTAAATGATGTGATGCCGCCATCTAAAGGAATCTGTTCGTCATTACAATGGTTTACGAATCTGAAATTCACAGGGAAGCTGGGCGAGACCCTCTTCCAAGCCTACCCGTTGTAAAATGTACTTGACTATGATATATGTTGGTGGCAATAAACGTTTGGATTCCAGTTGACAAATTTACACGTGCTTGGCAATGAATGAAAAACCTTGACACTCTTAAATTCATCCATTCTCTGGACCGCATATCCTCACTGTGGTCGCGGTATGTTGGAGCCTATCCATGTTGACTTTGAGCAAGAGGTGGGACACACGCTGAACTGGTCGTGAGTCAACGGCAGGGAACTTACAGTATCGACAAACAAGTATTCACACTCACACTACGAACACTTTTAGATGCTTCAATTCACCTACCATGCATGTTTTTGGAATGTGGGTTGAAAACTGGAGTACCTGGTGAAAACCCACCAAGACATCGGAAGAACATGCAAACACCACACAGGCAGGTCCGAGCCGAGATTTGAAGCCTCAGTCTCTGACCTGTGAGTCACCCCTTTTTGAAATTGTCACCTTGTCACAAACGCTTCTGGCTCATAAATGACTTTGTATGAAACACAAGAGTTGACCAATACCTTTATTTTCTTTTCCAGAATAAAATACAAGAACAGTCTTGAAAAGTCTGAGGCACTTTGATGAATGATAAAAGTGAAGGCAGGATTAAACATTAAAATCCATTTTAAAAACACTCATTTTCAGGACTCAACATGCCTAAACACATACCTGTAGTTTCATCGCTAAAGGTGGGGTTTCTATTGTAACCTATATCAAGCATGCGTCGTCTCTAGATAACAAAAAAATAAGTATGATATAAAATAACCATTTCCCTTACCTATAAAATGTGATGTTGATTTGATTTGATTTTTTTTCATTAAACATGCGATGACTGAAAATGAACAGATCTGTTAGCGGGAGAGCATTCAAGGAACGTGATGATTCCATATCAAAACATTTCACATTTAATCTGCTTCCAGCAACACCCATTCATACTGTCCATACTATCGAAACAAAAGCCATTCTTATTAATATAGCCAACAATCAGCAGTCATCCTTCCCAAGAAATCAGCTTATCAATCAGCTTATCAGTTTGACCACAGTCAATAAATAACTTGGAACACTCTTGGTTTCTGTTTTGATGAATTAGTCGAGTTAGAGGTGCAACTAACTGGGCGTATGTCGAAGCACAAAATGACACTGGAAGGTAACAAAGACAATTTTCAACAGTTTCTTGGTGTGTGTGTGTGTGTGTGTGTGTGTTGGGTTCTGTGTGGGTGTTTGTGTGTGTGTGTGTGTGTGTGTGTGTGTGTGTGTGTGTGTGTGTGCGTGTGCGTGTGTGTGCATGTGTGTCCACACTGTTCTGCAATCCTTTAAATCACAGGTGTCAAAGTCAAGGCCCGGGGTGCCAGATCTGGCCCGCCACATCATTTTATGTGGCCCGCAGAAGCAAATCAAGCATGTCAAGTTCCATGATGCTTGCTAAAGCCTGAACCAAAATTTCAAATTGTCATATGTAATCCACAATAACAGTCATTATTCTTGACTTCTGATTTTAAAACTAGTTATCCACCAATTTTTTGTGCACTGAATATGTAATATGTGGAGGTGATTAAACATTTATATGGTTTCCCAAAATTCCCAGGGAAACCGTAACTACAGTATGGCCCGTGACAAAAATGAGTTTGACACCCCTGCTTTAAATGGTCTGATTGTTGTCCAAAGTAACGCAGGTCTTCATGTGCAGAGTCTTTAACCCTTTCATGCACCCTGTAACATAACATGATAAGCTGTCCACTGTGGTAACCGCTGTCCCTGAAAGGGTTAAGATATCACTGTTAAAACACAAACTATGTCTAGATCCAGACCGAAGTTTTTCCGTTTTTTACAATGGTGGCAGCCTTCTCTGTGGCTGACTTGGGCCTGGCCCCTTGTTTCTCCTGGACTGTGTTGACACGGTTTTGCTCCGCCATAGTTGCCCCAGACACTGGACTGCTGGTCCTGGAGGTCTGCTGGTGGTTTTTTGTTTGGTACGTTTGAAAGGCCATGTCCAGTTGCTCTTGGGCCACGCGCAAGTGTCGGTGAAGGCTCGCCAGGTCGGAGGGGATGTTCTCGTCTGGGCTCGTGCACTGCTGCTCCTGGGCCACGTTGGCCATGTTCTGCTCATGGGTTGTGATGAGGCTGTTCGGCATCCTGCTGGGCTTGTCTGTCTTCATCACAAGGTTGTATCCGGGAGGGGAGGCCGGGATGTTGCGGGAGAATGGGCAGCCGAAGCTCCGCCGACCCCGATTCCTCTTGAGGCGCAGTGTGTCTCGAAAAGTGCCGATTCCCAGGTGAAGCATCTCACACACGTTCAAGATGAGGCAGAGGCAGCTTACCACATACATGATGAGAAGGAAGATTGTTTTTTCAGTGGGCCTGGAGATGAAGCAGTCCACTCGGTGTGGACAGGGGACCCGGTTGCACACAAAGGAAGGACTAACTTGAAAGCCGTACAGGAGGTACTGTCCCGCAAGGAAAGCAATCTCAAAGATGGCTCGTGACAAGAGCTGAAGAACATAGATCCGCATCAGCCCCTCTTGAAGGATTCTTCGGCGACCATCATGCTTTAGCTGATTTTTGCAAGTGCTGCTCACCAGCTCAGGTTTGCTCTCCGGACCCTCTAGTGTGTCTTCGTAGATCATCGGCTCGGCGTCATCATCCTCCCCCTCCAAGACGTCCTCCAGATTGCGGCTTCCCCTCCATCTCGATTGAGCCGGCATCTTTTTGCGGATCCTGTGCCCCCTCTGCCGCTCCTGCTCAGACGAGCGAGCAATCTTGTGGATTGCGTAGCCCATGTACATGATGGAGGGTGTGGAGATCATGATGATCTGGAAGACCCAGAAGCGTACGTGCGAGAGGGGTGCAAAGGCATCATAGCACACATTGTCACAGCCCGGCTGCTTGGTGTTGCAAGTGAACTTGGTCTGCTCGTCTGAGTAGATGGACTCCCCTCCGACGGCTGTGAGCACGATTCGAAATATGATAAGCACAGTCAGCCACACTTTGCCGACAAAGGTGGAGTGGTTGTGGATCTCCTCAAGCAGACGAGTGAGGAAGCTCCAACTCATGTTGCCCTCGCTAGCTTTTCAACTAGAGTCTGCGGAGAGAGGAAAATAGAATCAAATCATTCAATCCAGGCAAGGATAGGATCTTGTGCCTGTGCCCAATTCCTCAACTCACCGATTGAACTGGCGACCATTTGGTCGATTTGTCTCTCGTCCGCTGCTTAAAGAAAGGAAGTTGATGTCGGCTGTAGCGCTAAGGACTTGGTTCGGGTTCTGGAAGTTTTGAGATTCAGCTGGACTATCTGAATGAAATGGACAAAATAGAAAGTCATGATTGAGAGTCTTGATTTGACTGCCTGTACTTGATGTTCAGGTCCTCACTTTCCATCGAAAAGGGACAGGTTATGGAACAGGGTCTTTTTAATTGCTTGTTTGCAAATAGTTGGCTTTCTGGAGTGTCTGGCCAACCTGTAAGCCTGTAATTCTATTTCCGAAATTTTGTCTGTAGGCAATCGGCCCTGAATTTTGTACCAGGTTTCATAAATTGAAAGCTAGGGTGGAGGAAGAGCCTCCATTTTCAAGTGACGGCAAGAGTCTGTCGGTAATAAAAAGCCGTACGGGCACAGAGTGAGCAGCGGCTCATGACATGACACTGAACTGCCCCCCTTAAAACTGAGTGAGTTCAACCAGGTTGTTAAAAGTGAACGTCAGTGTTTGGAATTGAGTCCTCTAACCACCATTTTAGCAGCGAGCACTCTCTTCTGAAGGCTCAGAGGAGTGAGGCTTTACAAATGTCGCAAGTTGGTATCGGTTACAGAAGCGCACTGGAAAGAGCAGAGACAGGGAACCTCTCAATCTCTTTGTAGCCACATGTTCAATCAGAAGTGCAGTTCAGCTCACCAACAGTAAGGTTTGAACCATAGAGCGCAAGTGGTATAATGCGATATGCGTTCATATTGGAATTTTTCAATTTGGTACCGATGCGTAGCCAGTTCCCACAGTTAACATGAGAGACAGGAAGTGTAACTGCCTTGTGCTGTAGCCACAAATCTACTCCATAAAATAAATAAATAAATATGACATTGAAAGTCCTAATGGATGCACCCATCCATTTTCTGTACTGCATAATCTTATCAAGTAGCTTAATTCGGGCAAGAGCTAGAAACACACTCGACTGGTCGCCAGCCAATCGCAGGACACATACCTGTATACCTATAGATAAATAACCACTCACATTCTCACCTACGAACCATTTAATCTTCAATGTGCGTGTCTTTGGAAAACAGAAACAGAAAACCCCAGCAAGCGCGCAAACTGCTCATTGGGAAGGCTGGAGGCTCTAGGCTGGATATGACCTCTGAACTATGCTAACCAGTCTGCCAACGTGCCACTAATGGATTAATTAACTGTAATTTAATTGATCATCAGTCCTGCAATATAATACTATTTTGAACACTCAGTTAATGAATTTCAATGAATGACATTGCACATCTCTTCGTTTTACATATCAAATGTGGCCCCCTAAGCACAGAGAGGCTTGCCCATGGCTGGCTCGAGCGTCCCCTTTTAGTACCGTTCCGCTGCAAATGGCACCTAACAAAGGGTGCCGAAAGTGGTCATATCCTTTGGTAGCGTGCGTAACTTTTTGTCAGTTGCCAAAAATGTTTGACCTTTGTTCTCTTCACAGTCTCTTCGATGCAACCATAAGCCCCCCCCAACCCTGAGTTCATGGAGCCCTGCGCTCCCCGGCGTGGGATGTGCCATCTCCCCTGCCATCTGAGGGAACAGGAGAGGCTCTGCCGTGACCCGCCCTCCCCCAACTCCCGCACAGCCTTTCATGATCCACCACATTGGGGAAGGCTTTGGCCTCGTGGAGACAGATGGCACCAATGGTGGGTAAGTGCGCCTCAGGATGGCATGGCACGAGGGGCTGCCTCGCTTAGAATACTTTCATTCAAATTCCACATTTAAATCCATATGATGTACTGATGTCATTCTGAACAGGTGCAAACAAAGGTTTGATTGATTTAAACGGTACTATTGCTACATCACTTAGTAGTGAAACACATCCAAAATGTTGTGTCATATGGAAGCAATTCCAGAAAAAAATATTCAGTAATATAACAATCACACTTCATGTGGATCACATGGATCTGTCTGAGAGATTGTATGTGTCAAAAATAAAGGCGTTAACATTTTGCCTCACGCATGTTCGAAATAAGCACAGGAACATTTGAGCTCTCGGTGTGATGCGGTGCGCTTCAACAACTCTGAAAATAAAAATTGTAATTTGAAATAACATTTTTTGTATTTATCTCACTAGATATCTTGAACAATAGCTTATGTATGGCAGTATATTATTTTGATATTTTAAGATCAGATTTTTGCTTTCAACATATGGATTTAATCAATATAATGTTACATTCGCACAGTCTATTTGCTTTTACAGATCATGCCCATTTCAATAAGTTCTGTCCTTAATTATTATGTCAAGAATTGAAAAAAAAAACAAAAAAAAACCCACCTGGAGAAGTGGCAAATGCATTTCTCGTCCTAAATGTTCCTCTCTAGGTCCCCTTCCCAATCTGAGGCGTAGAACACCACCTCCATTCTAAAAGTCCCGGACCCCTGCGTCCCATGGATACACTTCAAAACCCCAAAACAACACGTTAGACTTTCTTTTGGCATCAGTTTTCCTTCCTCACATTCTGGCTGGTGTCTGGATTCTGTTCCACCAGCTTTCTGAGCATGCACAAAGTCTTATTAAATAATAAAAAGGAAGAACAAGGGGGTGAGGGAGGGGGGGGGCAGAAATCCTCCTCTGGCAAGAGACCCTCATCCAAGAGTTGAGATGTGAGAATATGGTCGAGCGGAATGAAATGAACGTGAGGGAGCGCGTTCATCCCCACACACTCGGCGCTCATGTGCAACATTTGTAACACGGATGATGAGAGTTCCTCGCTCTTTCTCCTCCTCTCTGGATGCTTACCTCACTCTCTCTCTCTCTCTCTCTCTCTTTCTCTTTCTCTCTCTCTCTCTCTCTCTCTCTCTCTCTCTCTCTGTCTCTGTCTCTCTCTTTCGCTCTCTCCTTATGGCTTAAGCTACACACACTGACGACAACACACCTGTGCGATCTGACGAGACTCAAGAAAAGAATCGAAGTGCCTTCAAATGTAAAAAAGCTGCGCAGTTAGTTCGGAATTTCAAAAAAAAAAAAAACACAAAAAAAGATGATTACTGTGGTTGAAGAATGAAGTGGTATTTGTCATAGAAACAAAAAGGGTGGCAATCACACAAGAATGAACTTGTATTTTTCAAATGAAAAACTTAAAATAAATAATTGAGAATTGTCAATGTTCAGTCCAAAAGCACTATTGGTCTCCTTTCATTGTGTAACAACTCTCTGTCCGTATGTGTTAGGTCCTAATTGCTCATTTTATTATACAGTAGTTGCTGTAATGTGAGAGTGGCTCCAACTACCGCAGATGAATTGTGTAGTTTTAGCGTACTTGCCCAACAGAGAAGATTCAGATTCAGATTATTTTTCCCCATATTATAATTACGGCCTAATTTTTTTGAATTACAAATTTATTCTCCAAAAATTTCTGCCCATAAAATTCCACTCATGTTTTTTGTCAATCGGGTGTTGAAACGTAAAGCCATGCCTGAAACAGAAAGAACAGGAAGTCTGCTTATTTGGCCATTTCACAGGCAAACCTTTGGATGTTTGGTCCGATTGCTATCCAATTTGACCCCATCCATCTATCGCTCCAGCCATCCATCCATCCATCCATTTACAACATCTTTTATTCCTGAACAGGATCAGGGGGAGTTGCTGGAGCCTATTCCAGCTGACTTCGGGCGGAAGGCAGACTACAACCTGAACTGGTCGCCAGTCAGTCGCAGGGCATACATATACAGAGAGAAACGACCATTCACACCCACATTCACACCGTCACGCTGCCCGTACACAAGTCCGGCGTGTGTACAACTACACCATCAGCAACTCAAATTTGAACCATATACACCAAACAGCGCCTTCATTGCAAAACGTTTGCATTGTCGTCGATGCGTGTGGGCAGAGGATGGCAGTCGGACGATTGCTCCAAAAAACACAGCACTTTAACTAGAGGTGTCAATTTATTGTGTTAATTGCGAATAATTAATTACAGTCATATTTAGCGCATTCTGTTTTTTAATCGCATTCATCTAAATTTTAATCTCTAACTTTATTGTTTCTGTAGGTAGGTTGCCTTTTTATAATATCCCTTTTCATGTGTTGGCTTCCTGTGTTCGAGTAATTGAGGGTAAAGAAACAACTGTCAGTCACAGCCTTAAGTGGACATTGATTGGCTGTAATTATGTTTGGGCTTGTTTAGCATAAGTTGATTGGCTCCCATTGGAGTTGGGTGGGCTAAGTAAGCACCGGTCAGGAGAGGAGAGGTGAAAATGGAGGAGCATGTGAGAGTTCTCGGCACAATGAATGGAAAATTTACTTCTCAAAAATGCCCTGATGGCACGATTGATAAACGTAGAGTGTTGTGCCTAATTTGTAAGAAGGAGTTTGCTGACCACCAAAGCAGCTCAAGTTTAGCCTCCCACATTAATGCAAAGCACCCAGTCGCGAATGCATCCAAAGCTAACGTTAGCACTGAAAGCGGTAGCAATATCACGAGCTAAAGCAAAGCTCTTCGCCAAACTAAACTCGAGGACAACACTCCGCATTGGAGGCATTAAGTCAGCATAGTTGCTGTGTCCTCAGTAGCCTACCAGAAGTGGTTGATGTTTATTTGAGCACTTTATTTTCTCATAATGAATAGTGTTTTTTCTGAAATGCTAACTTACAGCACTGTGATTTTAGGATCTCTTATTTGTTTTTTATTATCCGAAGCAATCAGCATCAGTGTTGAGTACTTGTATTGCTCAGAAAAACGTTCTTACTGTTTTTGATATGCTAACCTAAGTACTTTTTATGGAACTGATGTTCTATTTTTATTTTTATTTTCTAATTATTTGGAGATTTACAAAAACAGACACAACGTGGTATTCACCCTGGTGGTCGAAACTAAAGGTTGTAGGTAGGACTTGGGACTAGTCTCAACTACAGCAGCAAGTGAATGGCTCGGACTGCATCTGTTCAAGTCTGTTTACAAACAATGAAAGATTTTATTGTCTGTTGATCTGCCTCAATAATGTAATGAATTAAAATGAAAATAGGGGGTTTCTCAGCACTTTTTAGATGAGATTAAAATGTAGATTAATTAGATCAATTAATTACAGATCATAATTAATTAATCTCACA